TAGGTAGTTTGTATATTTTGTACTTTGTTTAGTATTTACTGCTGCATACTGAAGTGGATGACCATGAGACTGATTTTTAGATTGAGTTTGTGTTGTTGTGAAGCCACAGTGAGCCACAAGCTTCTGTATAAAAAGCAGGTTGAAAGCTTTATCTGTCATATCCAGCTCATTGCAGTTCGTATTCAGTGTGAATTCCTGAACTGAATCCAAGATTAATGATGAGCAACTCCCAAGTCTGCATGATTAACACACCTCCTGGTGTGGAGTGTTACAGTCTCTGCCTGAGTCCTACCAATGGGTGCACTCAGTTATTTGCAGGCCCAAGGCAAATTCAAGCATGAGGACCTTTTAATTACACCCTCAGCGTTTACACCCACCCTTCCTACTCACTGAAACTGGGGCAGAGTAGAGAATGTGCTGAAGGGTTGCTGGGACGTCTCCAGCCTGAGAAATATATGCACACTGTGTTTTTTTTTTTTTTATTCAACTCATACTTGTTGTCATTATCTTTATTTATAATGTTCATTCTCAGTTGTCTCCAGACATTAGTTGGAAGGCTGCACAGTTAAAATTGTTGCTGCTGCAGGTGCCAGCACTAGAGCTGGCACTATAAGCAGTTGATTCTATGACATGACACGTTTTCAACAAAGCTTTCATTTCTTTTTCTCTGTGCCAAATAGGTAGCGTTCATTTTCTGAATTTATTATTTTTGATTGTCAGGAAAAACACTAATATGGATGAACATAACCGCTGTGAGAGAAGACCAGTAATTGTTTGAGGGCCTGACTGAGGGTGACTGGGACTCTACGCTGAATCATTTTAATCATACCAACAGGTCGGGTGTTCTTTCGAAGGTGAAGCTTACATTATTTTATATTGTTGTATTTTCTGTGCCTCTTTTGAGCAGCAGTGATCTACTTTTGCATGATGGTAAGACAAGTCCATTTCCTCTTTTTAGTTTCCATAATATCACAGGTCATAGGTGTCCTCTTAATGGTGTGGTTACATTAGAGTGTAGGAGGTGCGTGTAGGTATTAGTGTTTTTTTTTTTTTTAAACAAATGATAGGAAGAGAGATGCACTGTGGTCCAGCAGGGCATACCAGGAATCTGCTTCAATGCAGGAACACAGGGAAGTAGAGTGTACCAAGAATAGCACCTTTCGTCAGAGGTTGTGAGAGATATATGGTACACAACATTTCCGTAAAAAATTTATCAGCTCCACGTAAGTTTTGTTTGGATTTAAAAATATAGCCTGTAAATGCCCACTAGAAAGAAAAGAAGATTTAATATCACACAAACTGCTGATGAAGCATGTTCACTTTATGACATAGAGTGTGTGGAGATTAATACAATATCCACTGATGTGTAAAGACAAACAGCAAGTGCATATGTACATCTGTACTGTGGCCATCGGTTTTCTGTGGTCTTCTGTGGCATTCAGGTAAACTTGAATAGGAAAAGCTGCTACAATTCCTTGAATGTTAGTGGATGAATGGAGAATAATTTGAAAGTGCAACTTGAATATTAAGTGGAAAGATACTGGAGGGAAAAATCTTTGAATGAAAATATTTTCTAACAAAAATGCAGTACTCAGTGAGGAATGAAATATGAATAGAGATATAGACACACTGTTTTTTCACATCTCTCTCTGAATTACTACCATTTACTTTCATAAATATTTTAGGCACATTTAAGGGCTGAAACTTTTGGTAACACTGTCTACAACATTTGCTGTCTGCATATAATGTGTTATACTGTATTGTGCTTATAACAATGTATGTTATAGTTACGAGCACTCAAACAAGTATCCATAATCATAACACATTATAAAACATTGTATGAGAAATTAAAAGTTCAAGTATCATAATACTTCATAACTCACTGATATTTTCCTTTTATAAGGATCAGAGTGGTTAATATTCTCATAGTTGTAATACATTCTAATTATTTTATATTCTATTATAATCCCTATTATAATGCATAATAATGTGATTATAATGCATTATAAAATCATTATAATGTATTAAGACTATATTTCCTGGGGACACAATACATAAATGTCCATATTTCCATTGTCCATCATTAGAAAGTTGTGTCAAATTGGAGTATTAATTTTCTGTTATGACCTATTATATAATGTTTTGTGCGTTGCTCTAGCATAGATTGAGATACAGTGTTCATTGTTTTAGGGGGTGGCCCAATGTGCCTGTCAATCATGATGTGAAACCACATTTTTATAGCATCAAATTACTAATTAAACCAAACTAATCAGAAAAATGAACACTCTGACATTTAGTGTGATAAGAACCGACAGAAACGTCTTTGGGAAAATTTTATTTTATGTTCACTTTGATATTTTAGTTTGGCAGTTGGACACTGAAGCAAACGTAACTCAAACAGGAGTAAATAGAGCATTAAGTTATGGACTTTTTTCAGCTGCGGATTACTACACATCTTTTTTGCTCGCTGTGATTAGTTCTGGCAACAGGACGATACAAAATAATATAATATTTTACCGAGTGCAACAGTGTGACACACTGTTGTTAATAGGTTTGGACAGTGGAGCTCTATAGCGCAGAGGAATAAGCTATATCAGGCTTTGGATACTCAGACAATAACAGTTACATGGATAGATTGATTGTTGCTCTTCTAATGTCATGGTGACTATTAATGAGCAGAATCTCCCCTTGCTTGGTCTATCAAGAGACATGGAGGATACACATCTCCATATGTTTGCACATAGAGTCACAAACTCACAGGTCAGTGATCTGAGTGTTGTCTTTAAGTTAGAGCTGCAGATTTCTGATAACCTTTGACACCTCGAGTCATATACTGGCTGTTTGTGGTAAACAGGGCGATATATTAGAATGGCCTGGAGACGGTGAGCTTGGTCCCACCCTTGCTTCGACGTGACACCAGCTGATTTACACTAATGATAAACTGGCTCTTCTTCCCCAGATACACAGCTTCCTGGGATTGACGCGAGTTTTGGCCTTGCTCGCCTCCAACCCTTATCTTGTTAGAGACAATTGAAAAAAGCAATTACCTGCAGATGCCGCATTGTGTCTGACAAACAAGGTAATGTAGCAGAGGACAACAAGCAACTGCTCTCTTCATCCTTCTCTCTCTTGTCCTAAAAGGCTGCTTATTTTCTACACTGCACCCATCTTGAAACATTTATAAGCACATCTCCTGTGACCACTGTGACTGCAAATAGCCTTGCCCACACTGCTCGGTGACCGTAAACAACCCTGGCAGCCGACTCTGACCCTCCACTCTTCCTCCCCTTTAAAAAGGAATAAAGCTTTCCCTTCAGCATCCCACACAAGGAAATGTTTTTACTCAGTCCAGTTGGTCTGTTGCCCTCATTAAGCCTTCAGAAGAGGCTTTTTGGAGATTGAGGGTCGCTGCAGTTCTGCCTCTCTTCCTAAACTAGGCTCCAACTTTGTTTATAGTCTGGGATAAATGAAAGGCTCAGTGGATGGAAGTGCAGACTGAAGGGGCCCATCTCATCTACACTAATTTTGTTCTGAATAAAAATGCAATTAGGAGAGCATTTATCTCATGAATAGGGAAGGACTGTGAGGGATCCGTGTGTAGTCTTGTGTGACAACGTTTTTTTGACATGGAAATGAAGATGATATAACACGCCATGCTACTCTTGGTCTCTCAGTTTGGACTCAAAATATGTAACAGAGCTGAAGTGTGTGAGGAGACATGCCTTGAAAGATTACACATGACTTGAAGGAACTGAAAACACTACAGCTAATTAAAGACATTGTTCCACAGTCTCGCTGCAATGCAGCAGTTGATTAGAAAATATAATTGGATTGCAAAGTGAGACTTAAGGGAGATGCATGTCTTGTCAGATAGCAATCAGTAAACTATCATGATGAAAATTCCATATGTGTGTTCATGTAAACATTTCCTTCTCAGATAATGCAATGATAATGTATTGACAGTGATGGCCGTGGTCTCGAGAGAAATTTAGTTACATATACAGTAACATGTACACAACAGCATCCCATTAGGTTACACATGTCCCAATTGACATCTTTCCCATCCTGGTAATTCTTCAAAATGAAAATGAAGGTACAAAGCTAATTTTTACCGCCTCGTGTGAGTGGGACTCAGCTCCGACGTTTCATTTGTTTTAAGAGCTTGTGAATCCCTTTGAGATACAGTTTCCTTCCTCACACCGACCCCACTTCTCTTAGTCTAATTCTGTTCATGAATAAAATGAGAAAATGAAAGATACAAACTTTACTCTTGTTTCCCCTTGATGATATTTTACCAAACACCCTCGTGAATACAGGCACACTTCATACAAAAAAAAACACTTCACTGAACTTTTTAGAAAATTCTTTTTAAGCATGACACCCCTCAAACAGGGTGATTATCTTTGGCAAGGCGCCAGAGAGCCGTAGGAGTGCTTTGAAGACATTCCTAGGAGGATATAAATAGTATTTATCCCCAGCAAACCCCATGCAGACAATAGGCTGATACGGAGCTGGTCTGTCTTCTTCTCACTAACCAGAGTTTTCCCAGAGAAGCACAGGCCCTCTCGTGCAAGCTTCATCAGATTTGCAACATTTCGCAGACACTTTATATCTCAGATGCATCTTGAACCAACCACAGTTTGTGGTTGGAAAACAGTGCTGTGCTTTATTTATTTTTTTCCCATAGAGGTTGAAGACTCTTATTTCTATATAAAGAGATGGAAGAGATGGGAAGTTATGTGATAGTTGAAATCATCATTTGAAGGACTTTGTCCTATAATGATTCAGCTTTATACAGCAGAGGATTACAGTCGTAGATATAAAGCTCTCTTGTTGAACCAGGGAGATTTGGTGCTGGATGAAAGTCCAGCTCCAGCTGCAATAACTGTGTCCAGAGATGTTATTTTTAAGAAATGAGTGAGCCGGACTGTTTGTGTTTTGGTTATATCACCTGTGAGCATCCTTTCTCTGGCATATTCAGTAATTCAAATCTGCTGCACTTTTCTTTTTCTCACCTTCCCAGTAACATTTTATTTAAAAAGAAAATTTTAAACAAGAATTTTACAACACAATGAAAGTAATGATCGCTTGACAATGTAACCCCAATCTGATCTCTGTCCCATGACACTGAAATCAGGTTGTATAGCAGAATTGTGATCTCACAAGGTTTAAATATTTACTTACAAAACACTGAGGTATTGTGAGGTAGTGAAATGAAATACACAGATTTACGCAATGGATTTAGCACACACAGGCTGCAGCTTGGCCATTGTTCTGGTGCAAGGTGGTGCGATGGTGTGGTGAGGCTGTGAGATTGGACTCTTACGTAAGTTTGGGGGTTCACTGATAAGAAATGGCTGAGAGCCCCACTGTAGCTTTAACTGCAGCAGGCAACGATAAATGTATCTGAATAACCTGTGATAAAGCCACACATTTCAACCATCCAACATGCTTTACTTCATGACAAACCTTGTTTGACCTATAAGATTTAATTTCTTCTTTTCCACCATAACACATCCACAGCTTACCTGCTTGTCCCCATGCTCATATCTTATAGATTAATCCTCTATTTATCTCAACACAAAACAACCAGCGACCAGCACTGGAATCCAGCTTCCTTCATGGCTTTAATTTTACTCTGAAGTAGCTCTTTCCCCCAGCTTGCTGCAGCATAAAACATTGATTCAATACAGGGATTTCTTGATCAAAGGTGCAGGTTTCCAGGACTTATTATACAGTGCCTTATATATTGCAACTTTGCATATCCCAAGTGGCAAACATATATCTAATGATTAAATAACTGACCATGTTTGATGCTTGCAACACTGAAGCGCAAAAATATTTCTCTTTTGTTTTGCTCAACTTTACATTTTATTTATAGACTTTTAAATTTGTACACAACACTGGATCACTTTTTTCCAATATGATAGTAGTTACATTAAAATGATTTTGAGGAGGGGAACCAGTAAGCCAAGAGAATGAGTTTTAATAATATAATTCCTCCCAAGCACTGTTGAGTAAGAGGCTAAACAGATTTGTCCCAGGAACACTTTCTGTGTTCATGTGCGTTTAGAAGTTCTGCATATGATTTTCTTGAAGGATTTCCTGAAATCCCTGTTGAAAATAGTGTATATTATGGGGTTTACAGAACTATTGCAGTAGCCAATCCAAAAGAAAAGGTTGAAAAGTGCGCCAGGGATGTAGCAGCTGTCTCTGCAGATAGCATGCAGGGTGTAAGTAAAGAAGAAAGGGAACCAGCAAAGCACAAACACCCCCATCACTACCGCCAGCACGAAGGTGAAACGTTTCTCCCGCATCTGGGCCACTTTGGTTTTGTTGGCCGCGGCCAACTGTTGTCGCGCAGCTGGGTTCTTCTGCTCCGGGTAGAGCTGTAATGCCCGGGCCGAAGCCCAGGAGAGACGGCAGTTCTGAGGAGGGCAGCAGTCTGACCCCTCCACCTTCCTCCGCTTGGTGAAGCGATGATTGCGGGGTTTAGTATCCGACGGACAGCAGCTCTCCTCCAGGTCGATGTCATCCAGCTCCCCTTGCTTCTGCTGGTGGCTGCCGGAGCTCTGGCTACTGGGGCTCTCCATCTCGAAACGATCCTTCCTGACGAAACAGGTTTCGGACTGAGAGGGCTGCCTCTCCAGGCCGTTCTTGGCCACGAACACGGTGGAGGAGCGCTGCTTGGCAACCTTATAGATCTTACAGTAAACCAGAATCATGATGAGACCTGGCGCGAAGAAGGACACCAGGCAAGAGGAGAGGATGTACCAGGTCTCATCGTTTAGCAGGCACTCTCGTTCATCATGTTTGGTCATGAGAAGAGGAGGGAAGGAGATGACAGCAGATATTATCCACACGACAGCGATCACGGACTTGATGCGCTTAGGTGTCCGCTTCAGGTTGTAGCTGACCGCCTTTGTCACTGACCAGTAGCGGTCCAGGCTGATGGCGCACAGGTGCACGATGGATGAGGTGCAGAACAACACATCCAGAGCCAGATAGAAGGCGCACCAAGTACTCCCAAAGTACCAGTAGCCCATGACCTCATTGGCGAGGGAGAAGGGGATGACCAGTGTGGCCACGAGAATGTCCGCTGATGCCAGAGAGACCAGAAAAAGGTTCTGGGGCGCACGGAGAGCCCGGCTGGTCAGCACCGCTACAATCACCAACACGTTACCGACAATGGTCACCGAAATGATCACACTCACCACCAGGATGATGAGGGCAGTGGCTGCCTCCGTATGTGGCAAGGCGAGAGGTGCGTCCGTGGTGTTCACATCGTTGGAAACGTTTTCCACTGACAGATTGAATTGGGTTAACTCCATTCTGCCTCCAACTTGTCATTTCGTATCATGTTTGTTGTTTTGCAGCCGTTTGCTTTCCAAAACAGCTAAGATTGGGTGCGCTGCCTTTCACTGATGGCATGGCGATACGTTGCGCGTAACGCTCCTGCACAAACGCATCTCCTCAAATGGCAAACCATTCATCACAGGTCCTCTAAATAGTTCCGACGAGCACACGAAGTTCCGAGAATATCCGCGAGAAGAATACAGTTCACAAACCAGGGCACCACGAACAAAGTCGTTCCCCTGCTGTCACATCTCCGTGCGTAATGCTGCTTTAGCGTTTTGGAGAACAGCATCGCTTTGGAGAAGCAGGGAGACGCACACTGTTGGTGGAATGAATGCCCATACGGGAGTGAGGTGACATCACTCCCAGGACCAGCCCATCTCTAAACTTAAAGGAGAGAGGCATAGGAGAGAGAGAGAGAGAGAGAGAGAGAGAGAGAGAGAGAGAGAGAGAGAGAGAGAGAGAGAGAGAGAGGGCGCATTCTTTAGACAGTGGAATTTGAGAAAGGCCAGCCCTTGGGCTTGTTGTGTTTGATTTCATACACTCACTCATTGTTGTTTTCCTTTCTTTTAATATTTACCTTTTTCTCAGCATTATATGTCTCAGCATGTGACATATAATGTACGTCACAGTATAACATTCTTGTGTTCTTGTGTACCACTGTAGCTTTCCATTGCAATCGTTTCAAATGATTATATTGCACTGACAGCGCCATGACAGCGATGTTTAGGGGGACATAACCATCAAGAGTCACTGATGGATATGTTGGAAAAACCGCACAGCTGGAGTTTACTCTGAACTTTACCAGCCCTGCAGGGCCACCAATTAGGAGGCCATAGTGGTCAAAGTAAAAAGGCTTTCATGCAACAGTGATTGATTGATGAAATTTGTGAAATTTAGTGGTACATTTTTTAGGGTACACTTCTCAGATGGAGGCTTAGGCTTGTTTCTATGCACCCTCACTCTTTTACATTATTCATACACTGGAATGTGCTCGAACATAGAGGTGACCATAATACCTGCTACTGCAAGGGTTACATATTTTTGCTCTGGAGGTCTAGTTATATAAGTGGTGGAGTTATGCAGTCGTACATACACCCAGGATATTTACCCTTCAGGAGTGATTTACAGAATTATGTGCGCGCACACACACACGCGGGGGTCAGTTAGGGGTCACTGTGAAATAAAACTATGAAATAAAATTGCTGCTGAGCTGATGAGCTGACTGTAGCTCTGCTCACCAGATGCACTTCACTAATTTTGGATTAAAAAATAAATACATTTGTAAAGTAAATAGCATGAGCTGGAATCCTGTCAGTATGGGATTTGCAATCCAGCAAAAGGTCTTCGATGGATGCCAACATAAATGTTTATGTATGTGTGTGCATCTGTGTTCATCCTTGAAAGTGAGTCGTCTGGCGGCTCAGCAAAAACACCTCTTATTGGCTACAGAGAGATGAAACACAGAAGAGGATTTGGAGGAGGACATGTGGAGGTGGATTTCGGACAGCCTCTCTCGCTATGATCTCACTCCCCGGCATGAGCATGAAAAACAGAGAAGATCATCTAAAGGGTGACTGTCAACATATATCAGTGCTCTGTAGAAATCCCCTTAAGGATCTACCTGCTGCATAAAAACAAACAAAAAACACTGACCTCATTAACCAGCATCCTCCAACACACACATTATCTTTATAGAAGCAGAACAAAAAGAGTTTTGTTGTGTCTGAGAGTAGAACCTGAGGGGTTTCCAAGAAATTACGTACAATTTTAATTATTACAAATGAGCTAGTATTGTTATGCAACTCTTTGATGGAAGATGTAATTACACACATTTCCTCTGTTTTATTGCATTTTGTTCTAAAATTAAAGGAACATTAACACATTTATTGATTTTTTCCAAAGCAGAAGACAGACCAGACAAATCCAAAATGTGATATATACTTTTACCATGGCAAAAAAAAATCAATTATGCAGCGGGTCTGATTTTTTTCGACTTGCAGGTGTTGACAAAATCTAATCAAAGCAAGTACAAAATGTTTTGTCTGTGTTCTGGCTTTACTTTCTAACCAGAAATTGCAGACAATAGTTTAAGAGAACAGAATTGTCTCTACAAAACTGTTGTCCTCTCTTATCCAAAATGTACAATTATGTAACGCTTTTTTGCTAGATATCTTTTGAAGCTGAAAGTCACTTTAGAAACTTCTTAGTATGCTAAGGTAATGCGCTTGCACAAACAGACACACACAGCCACACCCACATACCCTCCTCCAGTTCATGCTCATAACAAAACATGCATATGTATAAACAGTGCTGCACATGTATACCACAAAAAATAAATAAAGAAAAGAAAATGCATACACAAATATCCATATATTCTGTATTTATACACAAATTTTTTGACTTGCAGTCCTTGTTTTCTTTATTTAAATTTTCTCATTGTATATTTAATTGTTATGCACCAAGATACCAAGGTAAATTCCTCATATGTGAAAACTTACTTGACAGTAAAACTCATTCTTGAAATTATTTTCTGATCTCAGGAACACTAAATATGAAAAATAATTACGCACATGTTCCTTCCAGCCTTCCGTACTTTCTATTCCGAGCAATACAACAATGCCCAGCATCCTGTCACTTTGGATCCAGCTTCCTGTTATGATCCAGCCGTCACACCTAATGAGGGGTGTATACGCAGACATGCCTGTCCTGAGGTCCTGGCCTCTGTCTGGCTAAAGGTTTTTCCACAAATTAAGAAATTACACAAATCAAATCTCTCATCAACCAATAATTTCCCAAACAATTTCCCAATATGGAGTAAAAAACTATCCTTAAACAGGCAAAACTAATCAGCTATTCAGTTTGTTTGACAACTTCAAAAAAAGGCATGACCCCTGTCTGATGGAGATTCATTTAATGTCACATGTTAAAATATAAGAAGCTCTCTGAAGCTACTGAAGCGTTTCGGAGCAGCACAAACATTTACCGAGTCACCCAAATGGCTTAAATCTCGTCATCTCATCAATCATTAGATTTGCACCGTGATTTGACAACTTGTTCCACTGCCAGCAGGTAATGTTTTCAGTAATGTGATTTTAGTGATAATTACTGCCCCCAGAAATTATTCATTAGCTTAGCAGTGATTATTAATAAGCTTGCTGAACACCATTTCACGGCCAAATCAGTGTGCTTATTATAAGCTCCACAAACACTCTTTTTCTCACTTACTTGTGGATGTCATTTAGCCTTAAACCAAAAGTGTGTTGTATATGTCAAGGCTTATAGGAGATAAACAAGAGAGGTTGCCACTTCTGATTATGGGTAGAGGCCTTGTGAAAATATGGTATGCTGACAAATGATGACGCCGATAACACTGTTTATTGGGCATACAAGACTGTGTAGATGAAAAGAATAGATCACTGAGAGGGCAGACATATTCAGAAGAGACTGATGGCTGTGTTTCTCTGGCTGCCTCCATCCTCTTACCTTCCTGTTTTCTTCTAAGGAGGCTGCTTAGGCTGGTTGCGAGCAGAACCCACTGCTGCGTTATGTAACGTTCCAGGAATAAATGGCCCGCGGTGGTGTGTGAAAACCTCATCTCAGGTTGCAGGTGATTTTACATAGTAAACATTTTCTTCAGAAAATTCAGCCTGCAGAAATTCAGCCAGGATGATTACTTAAATACTGTGTATGCATAATTATTTGTGTACGCGTGTAACAGGATCCTTGGCTCTTGTTAAAGTGTATATACTTGTAGGAGATAGCCTACAAGGGAGTGGGAGAGGACTCTTTGTGTGTGTATGTGTGTGTGTGTGTGTGTGTGTGTGTGTGTGTGTCACAGCCACACTGTGATTCACATGTTATTTTTTCAGAGATCACACATCTTTTCACATCTCCCACCTTCTCCTAGTGTTGCTATTGTTGTCAGTAGGCTTGGCGGGTCTGGATAAATACATCACTATTGACCTTTGTTGTGTCCCAAACAAACAAGATTTCCCTCAGATTTTTGTCCACAGCTTTGGACAAAACTGCACTGGAATTTGAAAGCGTGGTCGGATTAATGAAGCATTGAAGGTCACACATGTCAGCACATTCCCTGATAGTTTCACCTCAAAGTATAAGAGATTTCAGCTGCAGTTTGGTACGGCAGTTTTTTGAGGCTCAAAGGGGAATAAATGTATCGGCAATCACTTCAATTTTTAAACCAAGTTGGCTCTTTTCAGTAATTTCAAATACTTAAACAGACATGATGTAATTTCTGCTGATCTTGAATATGTTTAAACTAGAACTAATCAATTAGTTTCATCAGCTGCTATCTGAATTGGAATGAGGTATAAAGGGCTCCATCTTTGATAAAGAGCTGTAATAGTTGTGTACACATTCAGCAGAGGAAGCCGCTTTTAAAATTTACTTCCAAGACCACAGAGAATAGGCTTCCTGCTAAAACACTTCAGTGACGATCCTCCATCTCCTTTTAGGGAGCAAAAAAACAAATTTGTGGCTGTTTAAGAGTATCTGATGTCCAGGGTGTTTGTGTGTGATTTGGTTAACTGCTTTGTCGACTGGTGGCCGGGCTTAAAATGAAGAAAGATGGATGAGTAATAGGAAGTAACAAGTGAGTAAGCAAATCAAGCCTTATTTTGTATGGGACAAATTCACAAGGCATAATAAAGCCCCTACATCTAATAATGTTGGCCACAAAACTTCAGAATGCACTTATTGTCCTCATTTACTGAACCAGTGAAGCAATGACTCATTATGACTCACAAGATATTATTTGGTCATTGTAATAAACTATTAAACATGAATTATCAGATGACGTATATTAGAGGGATCATGGGTCGTGAATGTTCTACTAATGGGATTTCATTCCTTTAATTCTTTAGTGTATTTACACTGAGTATTAGATCAAAAGGTGTAATGGTGTAATGCTAATTACACTTGAGAAAGCACAGTTGTGTTTGTTTGATTAATGAAAAATAGATGGAAAACGTTGCTATTCTTAGATCCACCCATTCTGCAAATAAGTGCCTGATGACAGGGCACAGAAAAGGCCATATTGTGACTGGAGTCAAATCTGTTCTTGGTATTTTTGTCAGGAATTTGGTTAAAAAAATCAATGTATAAATAATCAAAAAGTTTACAACCTTTTGACCTGCTGGCACTACAAGACAAATCAGGGAATCATCAACATTGTTTAGATACATGACTGACTGTTAGCACTAGAACAACTACCATTACTAGAAAATTATTGAATGTGACATACGGGTATGGCAAGTCAAACAACTCACAGCAGTTGATACTAATATGTTTTATTGACTACATTTTATCATGTTTGTGATCTGACTCAATAAAAAACAGATGGACCACTTAAA